CTTGGCATACTCGGCGTGAGTAGGATTCTTCAAGCTGTATCCAGGTTGTGTCCACGAGGATGACAGAGGAGAAGGAATATCCTCTGAGGATGATGACAGAGGAGAAGAAGGAATATCCCAATATCCCCATGGGGATATATCCACATACAACTTCTTGTGCCTGATCTTTTGAGACACCCATTCCGTATCGGGGACATCGAATGCACTCATGCTGATACGTCTGCACTGTCTGACGACTTGAAGCCAAATGACGCCTTCTCTCAAAACAATGCTTTATGTTTCTTGGTGAATCCCACTGCCTGTTTCCGTTTTCTTTCTGCGCTCGTGATCCTGGTGGGTGTTGTCACAAGGTGACGAGTAAGACTTGTTTCCCATGATGTTACGAACTGTTCCCCACACTTCGGTGTCCAGAACTGATATCTTGCACTAATCCCGGCAGCATCTTGACGCCTGCTTTGAGAGCTGATTTTCCCACCATCTTGAGGATGGAAAGTGCTGAACGTCCCATGTGGGTCTTGACCCAGCTTTGACATCCTGCTGCTGCCTGCCACAAGGCAAGCCACCCTCCATAGCCTGCAGGATGTTGAGGATCATAGCAGGTGTGGTGGAGCCATGCAGGAGACATAGATGACGACTCTCTGTTGTTGTTTCTCTTTGGACGTCTCATGTTGACACTGTCGTTGACATCTAAAAGTGAATCCACTGACGAACCCGGTTGAGAGGGGAGGAGGGGGTCTCTGCTGTGTGGGTGTCGTTGTTGCCTTCTTCTTCTTCTTTTTGGGTTCGACAGGAAGGTTGGATGGGGCTGGTGTCAAAAACAAGTCAGCTGGGGGGTGTTGATGCTTCACGGGGGTGTCAGGGGGCTGGGTGAATGACCCTTTGGTTTTCATCATCCAGGACCAACGTAGAGGGTTGCCAATCAGTTCATGGGGTACGTTGCTGGAAGCAAGATACTGACCCAGAATATTCCAACCCCGTGGAGGGTCTGATTTGGTACGTTGTCTAACAAGATCATTGATGAGATCCACCATGTGCGTCCCAGGCATGGGTCCCCCTTCCAATACGAATTGACCCGTCTCATTCCAACCCAAGTCGGGATGAGCACGAATACGGGCCATCAACTGCTTGGCCTTGGCTTGTAGCGTTTTGGGAACCGTTTGCACGACTTCATGCAGAATGGCTTCGACATCGGGTTCTGAAGCAAGAACAAAACCATGAGCCACTGCTCTACCATGTGCTTCGTGGACTCATTCTTAGGAAGGCGAACCTCGCCACTGGAACACGCTGCGTGTGACTCAGTAAGTCAACCCTACTTACGGTGAGCTAGGGGAGCTCCATCCCTGGGTACCCCGTCCCTGGGTGTCTCGTTCCTGGTTCCAACCCTGGGAGTGCCAGTCCTGGGGGTTCCAGTTGCCTCTAAAGGTCGTGGTTTGACCGCTGCTTGGTCTTGAAACGCCAAGGTGTGTTGCAACAAGGTGTTATACTGCTGCTCTCTGTCCCTAAAAGGAACCGTGTCATCACGGACGAGGGGATCCATATCGTGAAGCGTGTGCACATGTTTCTGTTCCAACAGGTTGGACTTGAACAAATGCGGTTGACGTTGTTCTTCTTGCAGACTTTGCCATACCTCTTCTGGGACCATCAGCATCTTCCGTGCATGCTTCAACGCTGACGAAGGAGCAGGGTCAGGAGGAGGAGGAAGATGTGATAGATCCGACTTGGGAAGAGTAGGTTTGACTTCAGTCATTCTGTTCTTCATTTTTCAACCAGGGTTTTCTTTCCATCAGAATCCATCTTGTGTACTTGTGATAAATGATTGGATAGTTTTGAAAGTTGTTTTGCAGTACAGCCAGGCACAGGGCAATCTTTCTTGACACGTTTAACCCATGCCTTTGGCACCTCCAGCGGTTCCAGCTCAACTGATAAAACAACTTAGAAGTGCACTTTTATAACCGAGGGGCACGGAGGACACACGAGAGGACACTTGAAGGACACAGAGGGACACTCGAGAGACACCTCGAGGGACTGTGGAGGGACACTTGAGGGACACATGAGGGACACTGTGAGGGGCACAACGAGACACTCGAGGGACACTTGAGGGCAACTAAGTGCACTTTATAACCGAGGGACACTGGAGGGACACATGACGGACACTGTGAGGGACACAACGAGACAATTGAGGGACACTTGAGGGCAACTAAACCGTGTGGGGATTGAGGGACGCTCGAGGGACACTCGAGGGACACAGAGGGACACTCGAGGGATTACAGAGGATGGACACTCGAGGGACACCGAAATGGGACAATCGAGGGACAACTTGAGGACAACAAGACAATCGAGGGACCCAGAGGGACACTCTGAGACAGGCTCTATTTATATGTTTTCACTTGGGAATGTAAAGGGTGGTGAGCTAGCGAAAGAGATTGGACCGTACACGGTGCTCTTTGGCTATGGTAGGTTTCAAGTCCAGAAACAGATAGGAACAAGGAGTCAAAGTGGCATCCACATAGGCTTCCCGAAGGAAGGCCGTCTGTCCTGGAAAGATTTGTCTGGCCAAGTGATCCATTTGCGAGGCATCCCTCGGGTTTTTAAACAGCACCATGTAGTGGGCATTTAAACTAATGGTGCGATGATGAGGCGATGAAGCAAAGAGGTTTTGTGTCAAGTACAACACGGACGTGTTGCGATGATGACTTTTCTTGGTAAACCATCGCAGGACCTCGGCCTCTTCCTCTTTGGTATCTACAGTTCTCGTAACGGTTTATTGAGCGATCGAAAAAAAGTGTGACCGGCTTGGTTGCACGTAGGAATATATCAAACACTTGCTCCGAGTCGGAGTAGATGGGAAGGCTGTGAGTGATTATTGTGCCTAAGAGAGGGAAATAAAGTACTAACAGACGTTTCTTGGCCAAGCTTGAGGAATGACAGTGTCCAGAATCTTGTTGTCGCTATCAAGCAGCTCGAAGCCATGGTCGACAAACTGATGGCGTTTTAAGTCCTGACCATCTTCATGAAGGCAGAGATTATCGAAAAACCTCGGACCTCCTTTGACCGTGTCAGAGAATTGTTAGACATGCTTCCCCGGCGTGGACCCCAAGCTTACTCCCTCTTCTGCAAAGCTTTGGAGGAATGTGGAGAGACAGAAGCCATGACATTGCTGGGTCTCGAGACTCAGTGACGTCATCCATGCACGACCCACGTGACGTCACCCTGTGTATCTATATAAAGACTCTGGCCCCATCGTGATTCGTCATCATACTTGTTCACGCTGCTCTTTGTGCTTTGCCACCTATCTAGAAGAGAGACACTTTTAGAACAGTTCAGAAGAAGCGGTGCAAGACGCTGTGCAGAAACAACACGATCGTGGCGATCATTTGAAGTGACGTCATAGCTCGCCCTGCTGGATTACCCATGTCGTGTGACTTCAAAGAAACAAACAAAAGATATAGACCTCAATTATCAAAAAATGTTACGTCAACAATATTAAGTTGGAACAGTTAATGCAGGCAAACCCCACTTATATCTTTCAGATGGGGGTGGGGGTGGGGGAACGAGGATAGTTTAAAGCGTTCGGACCCAGAAACAGAAGTCAGTCAAGGAGTTATTGGTATAATTTTGTTGTTTTTGGTGAGGCAGGTGTTTCACTAATAATGGGTGAAACCCGACTACTACAGGTATGGTGCGGAATAGACTGGGATCACTTAGAGATTTGAACCTTTGGCCCGAAGCGGGACTAGGAACGTACGATCTCACGATGCGGAAGCAGCTCTGATGTAACGAGCTGGAGTGGAAGAAATGAAATTCGAGATGATATCAAGGCGGAAACGCAATATAAAACCATCGACCTTAACAGCGGAGCAAAGAGAAACACCCATGTTTTGAAGGCGGCAGTAATGAAACAGAAAGAAATGATTATTCGATGGTGATATAATTTTATAGGGACATTTATACCTTGAACGTCAGGTTTGCTGTGTGTTCTGCCAACTGTTTTAGCCTATTATAACACAACTGCGTTTTTGGGGAGTTTTTATCAAGGAAACCAATTTTCAAGTGTATAGGGTTTTCTCGGAATTTTCATACCATGCCTACATTCTCCTGTTCTCTTTGACAATGGCCTTGTCTTTACACAGATTATGTGCAGAATTACCGATTACTTTTATCCACAACCAGGCTCAAAGTTCTCTCTTCGGGAACGTTGGGGTAGCCAATATTAATGGTTAAGCGTTCGCTCGACACACCAAAAGACCATGGTGGATCGATTCCCAACAGCGAATACAACGATGTGAAGGTGATTTCTGTGGCCTCCACGTCGTGATAATGCTGGTATGAAGTGGCGTAAAACCATACTCACTCACTTACCCCACCCTTGAGAGTGTGATGTCTCTTAGTAGAAGTTAGTGAGAAGGTTTGATGTCGCTTACAGAGATCTAGTTCTGAACCCACCATAAAAGCCCGGATCTGAAAACTGACTAAGAGAAAATACATCGTGACAACGAACTGCGGCAAGTCCAGACGTCATTTCCCGATTCAGGAAGAGTAAAAACCTGGAGCTAGCATATGACAATACATTGATGTAGTACAATCCTGTGTTTGGAAATGAAGATACATAACAACCAAACAAATGTGATTTTCTAAACAACAAGATTATGCAAATCTACAGAGAATTTCTGGTGGACCCTAGTTACGTGCCCCGATGTCCAATGAAGCCCGTTTATAATAGCTTGGATGGGGCTGATGTCCCAGCTGAAGTATGTCGGTTATGTCACAGAGGGACATTGGGATAACATGAAGGCAACGGTAAACTGGATTTACTACCTGCTGTTGTCGACAGTGGCCTGTTGCACGTCTATTGTTACTTGAAGTTCCGTTTCGGTAATCAACAGGGGATTGGGAAGGGCGCCTCTCCTTGATGATGGACTTGGGGAACATCCTGACATGCTGGAGACATTAAGCAGCTGTAACCTAGACTGCTTGTCTTACACCATCAATAAACCTTATGCATGTCTCCCTACCTACTGATGACCATTACCTTCCACTTTACATGTCATCCCATTACGCACCTCTGCTTGAAGCAGGCATCCCGTCACTACATCGGACCCACACTCGTCCACCCAGACCCACAACCATCACCTCTGTCACTCCACCACAGACCACAACCATCACCCTATCCACTCACACCACACAACAACCATCACCCTGTCACTCCACCACAGACCACAACCATCACCCCTGTCGCTCCACCACAGACCACAACCATCACCCTATTGCTTCACCACACACAACAACCATCACCCTGTCGCTTCACCATAGACCCCACAACCATCACCCTGTCACTCCACCACATCCACAGCCATCACCCTATCACTCCACCACAGACCACACACCACAACCATCACCCCTGTCGCTCCACCACGGACAACAACCGGCTCACCCTGTCCACGTCACCACAGACCACACAACAAAGCCATCACCCTGTCCCGCTCCACCACGGACCACAGCCATCACCCTGCCACTCCACCACGGACCACAACCATCACCCTGTCACCCACCACACTGCAACAACCATCGCCCTGTCACTCCACCACAGACCACAACCATCACCCGTGTCACTCCACCACAGACCACACACCACAATCCATCGCCCTGTTGCTTCACCACAGACCACAACCATCGCCCTGTCACTACACCACAGACCACAGCCATCGCCTGTCCGTCCACCACGCAGCACAACCATCACCCTGTCCTCCACCACACACCACAACCATCACCCTGTCCATCCTGAGATACAGCCATCACCCCATAATGCTACACCACAGACCACAACCATCACCCTGTCACTACACCACAGACCAACCATCACCCTGTCCGCTCCACCACAGATACAAACCGTCACCCTGTCCTTCACCACGCACCCAACCAGCCATCGCCCTGTCATCACCACTGACAAACATCGCCCTGTCATCACCGCACCACAGCCATCCGCCTATCACTCCACCCACCGCACCACAATAAATCGCCCTGTCCATCACCACGCACGACAACCACCACCCTGTCCTCCACCATGGACCAACCATCACCCTGTCGCTCCGCCACGGACCACAACCATCACCCTGTCATCACTTCACCGCAACGCAACCATCGTCTATCACTCCACCACGCACAGCAACCGTCGCCCTGTCCGCTCCACGGACAACAATACATCCACCCTGTCATCCACCACCTGACCATCCGCCTTGTCGCTCCACCACAATGACCATCGCCCTGTCCTCCACCGCGGTTCAATAAATCACCTGTCCTCCACCACGGACCACACACCCTGACCATCCTTCCTGTCGCTCCACCGGACCAACCAAATCGCCCTGTCATCCACCTGACAATAAATCGCCTGTCCACCTGGATTCACAATAATCATATAATCATCCACCACAACAATAATCATCAGCTCCACCTGACAAATATCACCCTGTCCTCCATACTGACAATGTCATCCACCACAAATGATAATCCGCTCCATAAATGATAAATCATCCCTGTCATCCACCATCCGCCTCCACCCAGGACCCTGATCATCCTGTCACTCCACCTTTCCTTCCATCCATCCTCCACCCTGTTCCATCCACCTGTCCACTCCTGGGCCACCATGTCCACTCCACCACCTTCCATCCACTGTCCACTCCACCTGGTCCATCCACCCTCCTTTCCTTCATCCCTGTCCTCCACCACCTTTCCTTCCTGTCCACTCCACCCTTCTTCCATCCATCCACTCCACCTTCTTCCATCCTGTCCTCCACCACTAATATCCACCTTGTCCTTCTTCCATCCACCTTCCTCCTCCACCCTTCATCCATTCCTTCCTTCATCCTTGTCCACTACCTTCCATCCTTGTCCACTCCACCATCCACCTTATCCATCCACCACCTTCTTCCTCACCTTCTCACTCCACCACCTTTCTTCATCCTTGTCCACTCCACCTCCACTGTCCTCCACCACATGTCCATCCACCCTGTCCACTCCACCACATGTGTCCACTCCACCATCCTGTCCACCACCTGTCCACTCCACCACTGTCCACTCCACCTGAATACCTTTCTTCATGTCCACTCCTTTCTTCCTTTCTTCCTCTTCCTGTCCATCCTGTCCTCCACTGTTTCTTCCATCCTGTCCTCCCTAATGTCCTTCCTCCTTCTTCCATCTGTGTCCACTCCACCACCTTTCTTCCATCCTTCCATCCACTCCTTTCTTCCTGTCCTCCACTATTTCTTTGATCCACTGTCCACTAATCATCCACCTTGTCCTCCACCTGTGTCCTTGTCCACTCCACTATTTCTTCCATGTCCACTCCTGTTTCTTCTTCCTTGTCCACTGAATTCCATCCACCTGTCCTCCACCATCCACTGTCCTTTTCTTCATCCACCTTGTCCTCCACTGTGCCATCCTTCCACTCCATCCTTGTCCACTCCTTCCTTGTGTCTTTTTTTTGTCCACCTCTTCCTTGTCGTCCACCACCTGTGTCATGTCCTGTTTGTGTCCTGTCCTCCATGGTTCCTGTGTGTGTCATGGCTGTGTGTGTGTGTGTCCACCTGTGTGTCCTTGTGTCTGGGCCACTGTGGTCCTGTGTGTCATCCACTGTCCACCGTCCTTGTGTCCTCCATGTGTCTGTGTCCATCCTGTGTCTGTGTCCACTGTGTCCTTGTGTGTCTGTCCTCCACTGTGTCCTTGTGTCCGTTGCCTCCACAGCACTGTCCTCCACCTGTGTGTCCTCTCACTGTGTGTCCTCCTGGTCTGTGTCCTCCTGGACCCTGTGTCACCCTGTGTGGGTCCTGTGTCCTTGTGTCGTGTCCATCGTCCTCCACCACTGTGGTGTCCTGGGTCCTGTCCTTGTCCTTCCACTGTGTCACTCCACTGTGTGTCCTTTGTGTGGAGTCTGTGTCCTGTCCTTGTCCTCCACCTCTGTGTGTGTGTCAGTGCATTCTCAGTGTGTCCATCCATTCCTGGGACCACTGTGTGTCCTCCTTCCTGGACCTGTCCTGGTTGTGTGTCTGTGTGTCCACTGTGTGTCCTCCTGGACCTCACCTGTGTCCTTCCTGGTCGGCTCCACTGTGTGTCATTCCACTGTGGCCTGTGTGTGTCGTGTCCACCTGGGTCCTGTGTCCTGTGTCCTGGTTGTGTCATGTCCATGTCCTCTGTGTGTCCTTGTCCTCCATGTGTCTGTCCATCCTGTCCACTCTGGGCCATGGTTGTGTCCTGGGACCTCAGTGTCTCCACCTGGGCCAGCTGTCCGGTCCACTGTGTGTCACCTGTCCTCTGGGTCCACTGGATCCATCTCTCCTGTGCCTGTCCTTCCTGGTCCTTCCGTCCTTGTCCACTCCTGGTCCTGGCCATCCTTGTCCACTCCACCACAGACCCTGTGTCACCTGTCCTCCACTGGGTCCTGTCCACTCCACTGTCCTGTCCTCCACTGTGTCCTTGTCCTCCATGTGATCCTTGTCCGCCTGGTCATCTGTGTCCTCCATGTCCTCCATGTGTCCTTGTCCTTGTCCTGGGTCCTGTGTCCATCCGCTGTCCTGTGTCCTTCCTTGTCCTTGTGTCGTGTCGGCCTGTGGTTGCTGGGGCCTGTGTGTGGGTCCACTCCATCCACTGTCCTCCACCTCCTTCACCTTGTCCACTCCTTCTTCCATCCACCTTGTCCATCCACCTTCTTCTTCTTGTCCCTCCACCTTCCATGTCCTCCACCACTGCTGTTCCCACCCTGTCACTCCACCACAGACCACAACCATCACCCTGTCACTCCACCACAGACCACAACCATCACACTGTCACTCCACCACACAACACGACCATCACCCCACCACAGACCACAACCATCACCCTGTCACTCTATCACACACCTTTATCAACGCACCACACCATGTTGCCTTTAATCACATTTACAAAATCGAAATCTTATATCGTATATCCTGAAAGCGTCTGTTCTGATTCTGAAGATTTTGCATCCGCGAATAGACTAAGGTGAATTGAATATGTTCTAGTGTATAACATAAACATACCATATCAAAGAATTTAAAACAGATTAGAATAGTTATTTGTTTATGTAATGAAATCGGCGGAGGTTAACATTTTTTATAATCCAATACTTGCTCCCACAGGATATATTACTTTTCAGAGATCGAGCAGTATTTCCCAGGAGAGAGTTTTGAGTAACCTTTGATCATGTTAAGTTTCAGCTTGAAAGGAAAGGATTTGCTGGCTTTTTTGCAATCTCACAAAGGAAGTACGTTCACAATATTTGATTTTTTGCAATCTCAGAAAGGAAGTACGTTCACAATATTTGATTTTTCAAACACTTACGACAGACTTAAGTGAAAGCTTCATTTCTTACACACATATGAGTGAGAAACCTATAGTACTTGTATCAAAACAAGTGTGTGAGATTGAATTCGAGGCCAGTGATTGGATACTCCATGGTGATGACCGAGGGTCAAATTATGACGGACTACTTTCCTGATAGTAATTTATTGATAAGTTAGCTGGTCGAACACACGGCTGTGTCGAACTGTGGTTTTAGTGTGCTTATAACTGTTTTAAGGTCTTATCTATTGCTCCTTGATAATCAGCAGATATGACCAAAACATAGGAAGTGTCGCACGAAATATGGACAGTAAAGAATGGACCGAATGACTTCACACATGGCTGTTGTGTATTAATACGAATTTGACAAAATATGTTACGATTCGATGCTAAAACTGTGCGTTCATATGACATGTATGCCAAATTTATACGTCTCACTTTAGAACAAATTACATATGCTCATATAAATTTATGCAATAAATTCAGATCCTTTGTGAATACTGGGTGTGTGAAACAAATCCCTGCTGTCGTGCCTGTCAGATATTATTATCTTGAAACCAGTTGTTACTAAGGGCTCTTGGATGGGTGGCATAGCCTGGTGGTTAGACCCGTGAAGATCCAGGTTATAGTTTGTCTTCAGCAACCCATTCTTGTAGTAAGAGGCAACTAACGGGATCGGGTGGTCAGGCTCGTTGACACATGCCATCGTATCCCAATTGCGTAGATCGATGCTCATGATATTGATCACTGGATTGTCTGGTCCAGACTCGATTGTTTACAGACCGCCGCCATACAACTGGAATATTGCGGCGTTAAACATCAAACCAACCAGCCCGGTGGTTACAGCGTTCACTTGTCATGCCGATTCCCTGCTTGGGTACAATGTGTGAAGCCAATTTCTGGTCATATTGCTTGACTATTGCTACAAACGGCATAAAACCCAAATCACTCACTTAAAAGGCGCGTTCGATGCATTTCGCAACGAGTAACATTTAATTATCAGACAGACACTCTTGTGGTAATCACTCATTCTTTTGTGATATCATCTACAGTGATATCATCCAATATCTCCAACTCAGCGATCCAACCAGACACATAGTCAGCTCTAGAAGACAATACTCCTTCCTTTGCTTAGCGAAGTACAGAGATGAGAGTGACTTGATGACGATCCAAGCTCAGGATGACCTTCAATGGCGCCACTGAGGAAACTGTTGACAAAATATGTTTCATGACCACGGATGATGGACGACTCAGCACACATCACAGAGCTAATGCAGTCGGCATCTTTCACAAGGGAGTTGAGAACATTCTGTGGAATGAACTGGGCATGACAAAGGTTTCAGCATTCGGAGTTCCAAGGTTTTTACTGTCTTGCGGGAATTTACCTTGTTTGAAAAAAGATAGAGCTGATTTTTTTGTGATTAGTTTTTTTGGTTTCTTGGTTCTTGTTTGTTTTTTGTTTTTTGTTTGGTTGTTTGGTTGTTTTGTTTTGTTTTGGCTTTGTTTTTGGTTTGTTTTTGTTGTTTTTTGGGTGGAGGGAGGGGCCGGGGGTTGTTATTTGTTGATGTGGCGATTTTTTTTGTGGGACTTTTTGTTGTGTTTTATTGTTGTTGTTTTTGTTTGGTTTTTATTTTTTAGCTATTGTTATTGTGTTTGGGGTTTTTTGTTTTTTGTTTTGGTTTGGGTTTTTGGGTTTTGGGGTTTTCTTTTGTTTGGTGTTTTTTTTGCTGGGATTTGTAACCATGTATTGGTCTTGAGTCCATCAAAGAAGGCACAACAGTGAAGGCAGTGGAGGCACCTATCTCCACCATGTTAGAATCGATATGCTTCGTCAGATGGCAAGGTGATCGCTTTATGTCATTCCAAAGAAATCCAC